ATTTTTAATGGATTTCCCAAGTGTGCCTTTGGCTTGAAGGATTTCAAGTTCCGAGATATTTGGTTAGCAAGGTTCCTCCATAAATTATGTAGTGAAAATGAAAATAACAGTGCTGCGGAATAGAGTTATCAATTGTGTGCTCTTTCATAATTCCATAATTTTAATTTCTCCTTCTCTGTGTTGCAGAAAGTGTTTGCCTCTCGAAAGGAGCTTCTGGAATATGATCTGCAACAGAGAGAGGCCGCAACGAAGTCCTCACGAACCACCGTCCAACCCACATTTACTGCCAGCCAGTATCGTGCCTTGTCTGTTTTAGGCTGTGGTCACACGTCTTCAACTAAATGCTACGGCTGTGCCTCAGCTGTCACTGAGCACTGCATAACGCTGCTTCGGGCCTTGGCCACCAACTCGGCCATCAGGCACATCCTTGTGTCCCAGGGCCTCATCCGAGAATTGTTTGACTACAACTTGCGCCGCGGCGCGGCCGCCATGCGGGAAGAGGTCCGGCAGCTCATGTGCCTTCTGACCAGGTTAGCTCTGATTCCGGGTTTGAATCCAGGGAAATCTGGAGAGCCACGTGCTTATATGGTGGATGTCTGGCATTCGCTGTATGCACTTGTATAGTTTTCCTCATTTAAGCTGAAATCACAGGAGCTTTGAGTGTCTAGTACGTATAATGCTAACTACAAAGCTTAATAATATTGTCTTTTGAAATTAGGGACAATCCAGAGGCCACACAGCAGATGAATGACTTGATCATTGGGAAGGTTTCTGCAGCTCTGAAAGGACACTGGGCCAACCCAGACTTGGTGAGAAACTGCAGTATTCTCCTATCTCTTTCTACTGGCCTCCTGAACTGCTGGTGTGCTGTAATTATTACATCTGCTCTATTATCAGGACCTGTTTGTAATATGGATGGCATTTCTGTTTTGGTGGGAATTAAGATATGCATCAGAGCAAAGCACAAAATGATAGACACAAGTTTCCTCAGGCAGTTCTGCCTGTTGCAGCAGTGTCTTGCTGCTTACCTTGCAGGCTTCTCGCAGGTTACTAATTATCTCAGAGAGGCATGGGATTATATTTATTGGAGTGTCTGTATTTTTATATCAAAATGGACTTTTAAATATCAAAAAGCAAAAATGACTGCTGCATCACCACTACTTCCTAAGGGTTTGAATATGTGTCTGTATTGCAGGCTAGCAGCCTCCAGTATGAAATGTTGCTGCTAACAGACTCCATCTCGCGGGAAGACAGCTGCTGGGAGCTCCGACTACGTTGTGGTGGGTTCAGATGACCAATGTGAAATCTTTATTTTAAAACTTTATGACTAGATCCATGCACAAAACAAAGATTTTTAAAGAAGGGAAGTGATCCTGGCTTGTGATTTGGGTTAAAAGTGCAGTTAGCACCAGGTAGCTTCATCTCTGGATATTCAGTGAGTGCTGAGAAACAAAAACGTTGGAGGAGTAAAACTGGAAGGAAAGGATGGCAAGGTTCTAATCTGTAATAAAAAAATATATTTTTTTTATGTTTAATTCCATGACACTGTGATACTTTTGGCCAAGTACGTGAGCTCTTACCTTATTCTAAGCACTCCTGATGTGCTGTACACCTGCAGATCCTATATATGAACCCTTATATCCTCCTTTCAGCTCTCAGCCTCTTTCTGATGGCGGTGAACATTAAGACCCCCGTGGTTGTGGAAAACATCACCCTCATGTGCCTGCGCATTCTTCAAAAGCTGATCAAACCACCTGCTCCAACCAGCAAGAAAAATAAGGTACTGCCTTGTACAGATGCTGAGCACAGCATGTGAAAGCGAGCTGACTGAAGCCTGGCACACCAGCCTTTAAAAAGGAACGGCTTTGTGAGGATGCTAGAGATATTTTCGGCAAACTCTTGGTTCTTTCACCACTTCATAGAATCAAATTCCTTTGGCTCTGGTTTTTAAATATACAGCTGCAGTTCTGATGTGATATCGGTTGGCTGCTCTTCTCTTTGAAGCTGGGGTAACATTTGCAAAGGGAGGGCATGTGTCTCCTCTGGCCGAGCTATGTGATAATCACACACTGGTGTCAAGGATGAGTGTACTGCTATTTCAGTAGTATTGGTGTCTCTTTTAGACTGAGGTATCTCTCTCAGTTCATTGTACTCAGAAGTGGGAAAGGAGAGTCCTTGACTTACAGCAAAATTGGAAATAACTACACTCTAGGGGTAATGAGTGTGTATGTACTGCTATTAGGCAAGAGCTGCCTTCACCTATTCACTGAGGCAGCGCAGCTAGTGGTTACCTGTACAGGAGTAACTCTTCCCAGGGCAGAACGTGACTTCCCCAAATCTTTTTTTTGCTTGTTAGGATGTGCCTGTGGATGCACTCACCACTGTGAAGCCTTACAGCAATGAAATCCATGCGCAAGCTCAACTGTGGCTCAAGAGGGACCCCAAAGCATCATATGAAGCATGGAAGAAGTGTCTCCCTGCCAGAGGTAATCTTGTGCTTTCACCTTGGGGTAGTTTAGCTCACTTTGTGATAGAATATGCATGTCCTTCAGGTTTAATAAGAAATGTATATTTGTAGATGTGTCAGCTTCTGTCCTGTGGCATTGGATGCCATTTTAACTGTAGTCCTTGCAGCACGGATATCTCTTGGCTATGAGGCTCAGCCTCTGAGCAGAAAATGTGCTGTGCTTGAAGAATATCAGGGGATAATCAAAAATGAAACTTACTTTTTACTGAAAATTAAACCAGCCAACTAAAATGTAGAACTGAATTCACTGAGAAGCTGCCATGGACTGAGAAGCTGAGGGATTTGCATATGGACTAGAGGTGAAAGATCCCAACTGGAAGTGAAAATGGCAGCCAAAAGAAATGAGAAGCTTCTCAAAACTCCTGCTGGAGTTGGAGGTGGTCCAGCATGCAAAATAAAATGCAGTAGCGTTAATAATTACCAACTGTTGACAGTTCTCTTAAGCTGTTTTCGATTTTGCAGGTATAGATGCCAATGGGAAAGCTCCCAGCAAAGCTGAGCTTCACCAGCTCTACTTGTCGGAAAAATACGTCTGGAAATGGAAACAGTTTATGAGTCGCCGTGGGAAGAGAACTTGCCCACTGGATCTCAAGCTGGGACACAACAATTGGCTGCGTCAGGTAAGTGCTAGTGAAAACTTGGCTGGGATGCACCAGCCTACGCAACAGCTTAGGACAGAGTTAACCATTAGTTTTTATGTGCGCATCGAACAATATCTTTTTTTTTTTATGCTCTACCCTTAGGTGCTGTTTACTCCTGCTACCCAAGCTGCAAGGCAGGCTGCGTGCACTATTGTGGAAGCTCTGGCTACCATCCCCAGCCGTAAACAGCAGGTCCTTGATCTCCTTACAAGGTATTTCTTGGGATGCCACACCCGGCAGCTCCAAGATGATGTTTCTCTGATTCCCAAGAGAACTTTTCTCACTAAAAATAGGGAGTTTTCTGGATAAGTTTCTGGATTTTTTGAACTATTTTCCATGTTATCCTTAATCGAATATTGTGAATATGTTCACAATAACGCCACAAAGCAGTTGCCAACCAGTGTTTGCTCTTCTCTAAGCTACCTGGACGAGCTGAGCGTTGCTGGCGAGTGTGCTGCTGAGTACCTAGCCCTGTACCAGAAACTCATCAAACCTGCCCACTGGAAGGTCTACCTGGCTGCGAGAGGGGTCTTGCCCTACATCGGCAGTCTCATCACTAAGGTATGGATCTCTGTGGAGGAGCTATAGAGCAGCAGGAAGCTTGTCCCTGCCTTGGCAGCCAGCTCGTTTAGCGCCTTGTCATCTACATCTCTTTACTCAGAGATGTTGATAGCCCATGCCTGGTTTAGGAGGTTTGTCACTTTGCACTGTCTGTCACCTCTAAGCACAGAATAAACCCAGCTGGATTCAGCCTCAGTGCAAACTGGCCAGTTCATATCAGGTAACTTTTCTCTGGGCAGCTTTGCTAAGGGGTGTAAATACTGCTGCTGTGACTTGGCACTGAGTCCAGGCTGGAAGCAGTCTTAGCTGCCAGCCTGGACTCCAAAAGCCCTTAATGCCAACGGAGGATTAGGTGTGCTACCATTCCTCCTGTGCAAATTACAGCCTGTTGAAGGAAGAGCACATTTAAGTTGCCATCCTCAGATAGTTGGGCTTAGCAGTTTGCTGGTGAGAAAAACTCAGTTCTGATGCAGATAATGCCGTCTGCTTTAACAGTGACCCTAAGTCCAGTGCATGAGGAGCACAGCGAGCAGAGCCTGGCGCTGGGAGCTGGTCTCGTGGGTCCCTCGAGTGAATGGGTGGGAATAGTCATGGGATTCATAGAGGGAGAAGATCAGGAGAAAATTTGGGTCAGTTTTTCTTCCCTGCTACTTCAACGCTGCAGTTCTCATTTCTCTGTGGTTGGCTCTGTTTCTTTGCTATGCTCCTTTGCCCCCTGTGCTCACACACAGGTCAGTTGGTTTTCACTGTGCTGGACGCTGGCCAGCTAGTCATTATTGTCACTGTCGTTTATCCTAATGGGCATGTTAATTATTTTCAGGAAATAGCTCGTTTACTTGCCTTGGAGGAAGCAACACTCAGCACTGATTTGCAGCAGGGATATGCCTTGAAGAGTCTCACAGGTATTTGCTGGCATCCACACAAGTCATACTGTAGGATTAGAGACAGGGTGACTGTTATTTCAGAACAGCATGTAGCAGAGTTTTGAACAGATGTGGTACAATGTTTTGCAATCATCAGCATTGGATTTTTACCCATCAGTTTATCTCTGATAGATTGGGAAAACAGATTTTCCCATAGGTCATTCTGAACAGGTTTAGTTTTTAGTGCCTTGAACTAATTTTGTGTCATGAGCAAATTTTGTCATAGCACTGTTCTTCTGCGTGTCTTGATTACATTTATTGAACAGTATAGTTCCCAGCACCATTGTAACGCTGCTAATTTATTCCTCCCTGTTGTGCCTTAGTTATCAATGTTTTAGCACCTTGTCCTTTTATTCTATAATGGCAGTTTTTGTTTTTTGCCTTCTATGGTAGACTTTTTTCAAAAACTTGTCTGAAATGAGATTACATTGTGTCAGTTCAGTCACTCTTTTTCGTATTCCATTCTATGATATAATTTCATATTTGCTGGCCACAGAAAACTTGAAGGTAACAAAATGAAGCTCTTTCCTCCATCCTGTATGTCTCATTCCTGCCCAGGTCTTCTCTCTTCCTTCGTGGAGGTAGAGTCTATCAAACGACACTTCAAAAGCCGCCTGGTGGGTACAGTCCTCAATGGTTACCTGTGTTTGAGGAAGTTAGTGGTGCAGAGAACAAAGCTGATCGATGAAACCCAGGACATGCTGCTGGAGATGCTGGAGGACATGACGACAGGTAAAACCACGGGAGTGCCAGAAACCCAGACTAGCTATTGGGATTTTTTTGTTGTTTTGTTTTTATTTGTTTTAATGGCTTGGGCCTTCTAATACTTCCTTGTGGCACTGGAAAGGTCAGTGATGTTCCTGGAATCATCTCTTCTTTCCCAGGGCTTTAAGCCTCCTCCTTACCAGACTGTTTTACTGCAGCCCAAGCATGCAAAGTAGTTTTCTAGTGACTGTACCAATAAACAGCCTCTTTACTAGGTAGCTTGTCCTTGGAAGAAGAGGGCGCCGAATTGGTATTTACTGCATGGGGATTTGTTGTCCGTATTGAGCTAAAACGGAGCCCTTGGGAGCTGGTGTGTGTGTGTCTCAATTTTTCCTTGTCTTGGCAGGCACAGAATCCGAAACAAAGGCGTTTATGGCAGTGTGTATAGAGACAGCAAAACGTTACAGCCTTGATGACTACAGGACACCCGTGTTCATCTTCGAGAGACTTTGCAGTATTATCTATCCTGTGAGTATATCCATGGCTGTAACTTCTCTTATAAAATCAGACTTCTTAAATAAAGTTTACATTTCAGCAAAACAAAATAGTAGCCTAGACAATAAGGGTTTAATACTAGCCAGCGTAGAACTGTAGTAATGTGCCATCCAGTTTTGAAGTTTTAGTATTCAGATTCCTTACTGTAGCCTGTTCTGCGCAAGGACAACCAGTAGCAAAGTCACTCTGTGCTGTAGAATGTGAGTACTAAAGTCTGCGTGAGGCCACGTAGAGCAGGATACACCAGCAGTGAAAGGGCTTGGGGCTGAGGGACACCCTGCAAATCACTAACATGCGAGTGCGGGAAATGGAGCGTGTTTAGGGTGGAAAAAAAACAAGTCACTCGGCCTCTGCTCTTGTTCTTTAGGAGGAGAATGAAGTGACTGAGTTCTTTGTAACGCTGGAGAAAGATCCCCAGCAGGAAGACTTCTTGCAGGGCAGAATGCCAGGCAATCCCTACAGCAGTAATGAGCCTGGCATCGGGCCGCTCATGAGGGACATCAAGAACAAAATCTGCCAGGACTGTGACCTGGTAGCTCTGCTGGAGGATGACAGCGGAATGGAGGTGAGGATGCTGAAGTGTGGATTTCTTGCCCTGACAAAGGCGGACTCATTTCTAAGCAGCTTTAGTTGCTAACATACTTTGAACCTGTTCTAGAACGCTGCTTCTTTTCCTTTCAGCTTTTGGTGAACAATAAGATCATCAGTTTGGACTTGCCTGTAGCCGAGGTCTATAAGAAGGTGTGGTGTCCCACGAACGAGGTATGTGTCTGTCCGTTTTCAATGGAAATCACAGGAATCAGGATTTATTCCATGACATATAATTTCCTAGCTACAATTGCTCAGCACCTTTTTTTCCCTTTTTTGGGGTGCTCTATTGGATACATTGTTGCTCAATTCTGCAACAAAAATGATTTAAAAGGGCATAGTAGTGGCTCAGGTACTCAGCCCATTGAATTTGCTATTAGTAGCGGGTATGGCCTGTTCTCCAGATGAAGAAGTGGACACAGAGGTCTTGAGGGACTGGCCCAACAGTGTCACAACAAGCTCATTCCAGGGACGGATGCAGAGCCCAGAACAAGCCGTTCTCTTTGTAATCTTACCCATTCCAAATATGTTCTCTAGACTTATTGCTAGTATAAGCAATAATGGAGATTATAAAAGATGACTGATTTACCTAACAGTTCTTGTTCTTTCCCCTGTTTGTTGGTCGTGCACATAGGAAGAAATCAGATGTAAAGCCCGTTTTGGTGAATTGTGACACAGGGGATTCTCAGATCTGATCCGAGCCCGAACTGTGTTACCCAAAGGGAACAACAACAACTCGTGGGCGCTGCAGAGCCGCTCCGAGCGCGGCCGTTCCCGGACTGCTGGCGCTGGAGCCGCCGTGCTCCGCTCCCAGGGGCGGCAGCGGCCGGGAAGGGCACAGTCTGCTCCGGCTTTCATCCTGCTTCCTTTGTGCACGCTGCGGCACCGCGCTCCTGGAGCGCCGCTCGCGTTCCCTAGGAAATAGGCTCACGAGAAGCCAGCCTCGGGACCCTTTTTGTTCCCCTTGTCTCTCCGTGGCTTTTTTTTTTTTTTCCTTGTTCATCTGCCGTTTTACCAGGGCCCCTGCGGTGTTAATTGCTGGTCTCTAGCGCGGCCTTTGAGCAGATCTTCCCCCCGGGGCTTTCCCGATGCTTATGTATTTGCTGTGACATTAAGCACTGCTTATTCCACATTAGGCTTAGTGCGCTTTCTGACAGGTTTTTCTCTCACAAGGTCTCTTGCTCCCAAATCTGGGATTTTTTTTCTTTTCTGCTTTTTATTTAGACCTGTGGATTAAAATGGAAAGTTTAGTGATAGGCAGTCAGTATTTCCAGCTGGAAACACATCTAGAAAGCCACCCCCTTTCCATGGTAAAAGTGCAATCCTTTCCCATTTTAGGCTCTCTCCTTGCAATAATAACACACCATCTTAGCAAAAGCTCATTAAATTGCCTTTTACTCCTCCTGTTTCATTTTCCATCGCTGCACATTTTTCTGTATTTGAAAGCAGTGCTTCAATTAGCCTCCTCCGCTGCATTTATTGGGCTGTGCCTTATCTGACTATATCACAGGTATATAAGATGCCTCCACTGGAAAGAGAAGGCTGATGCATTTCCCTATGGATGCCTATGGATGAGGGCGCGTTGTGCTTGGATAGTTCCTTGGTGCTAAGGGAGGGGGCAAGACTGCTTATTACTGTGTTATCCCTCTGATAGACAATGTGAGGCATAACAGGACAGAGCAACTGATGATTTATTGAACATTTTTGCAGGTCCTGGCTTTGCAGTTGTTTTTAATTCATCACAACCAAGGGAGGAGGAGGGAGTGAAAAATGTCTTGGTGTCATCTCCTGTGAAAAGAGCACAGAAGAGAAGGACACTTAAGTGTTTTACATGCCCTAAAGAAAACCACACCTGTGTATGTGTGTCTGTATAGGGCGAGTTAATGTAACAGTCTTCTGTCTCGCAGGGGGAGCCCATGAGGATCATTTACCGCATGCGGGGGTTACTAGGAGATGCCACGGAGGAATTCATCGAGTCCCTAGACTCCACTACTGGTAATGCACTTGTCTCCTGAAAGCTGGGATTAGATTTGAAATCTGAGGTTTGCTGTAGAGCAATGACACTCTTATCCTTGCAGCAGCAGGCTTAAAGTTGATTGACGTTTCTTTTGCTGCAGTTACCTGCTTCCCCTACAGTGGATGTTGATTTTAAGAGTTTAATGTCTGGGCTTTCAAGCTGAATGCTTGTATGGCATGGGACCGTTCACTGTGGCCCTCCTTCATATTCCTGCTCATCCCCTTTTTTTTTTTTTTTTTTTTTTTTTTTTTTTTTTTTTTGACAATTTGACACAGCTGGTATAACTTCAGCTGCCTGTAAACATGGCCTTCTGTGTTGTGCCTTGTCTTTGTGGCTTCTTCCTTTCTTCATAACCTGTGTCTGTCCTGTAGATGAGGAGGAGGATGAGGAAGAAGTGTACAAGATGGCTGGGGTGATGGCCCAGTGTGGTGGCCTGGAGTGCATGCTGAACAGATTGACAGGAATTAAGGACTTCAAACAAGGCCGGCACCTCTTGACGGTGAGTCTGAGCTGCTCTGCTTTGGGCTTCGGAGATACACGGCAGAAAATACAACAGGCATGAGTGAAATTTCCACTTTTGCTGTCTTAGGTTTCAGTTCAAGTGTTGGAGCAGAGGTTGCACTTCACTCATTTGTTAAAACCTGAGGAGTTTTCTTTCTCCCTCCCAATCTCTTTAGTTAGCAGTTTTATACAAAAAAAAAAAAAAGATGGAGAAGTCAAATTGTTGATAGGACTGAAACCTACCTTACTGGAGTGATTGTTTTCTGCCTTGGTTATAATGACAAAACAAAGCTGTCCAAGGTTAATATTAGCATAAAATCCTGACTTGTTATTTACCCCCCAAGTTTGAAAAGTAGCTCTGTGATCAGGTGCTTTTAATTTCAGTAATATTTTGATACTCATTTGGAGTACAGTGGAGAATCCATTCTCTGTATTTTGTAGGTGCTGTTAAAACTGTTCAGTTACTGCGTGAAGGTGAAAATCAATCGTCAACAGCTGGTCAAGCCTGAGATGAACACTTTGAATGTCATGCTGGGAACCCTTAACTTGGTAAGGATAACAGGGGCATTGAGCCTTTTATTAAGCAGGAGGAATTTGGTAATGTTGGCTGAACGGTGGTTTGGTTAAGTGATTTTCAAAACTGTTGTTGTTCGATGGCCTCACAGACATGGATGCTGGGTTAATGTACTGCTCAGAAGTGCAGCAGGGTCTTGGGTGATCTGCTGGTCTTTGCACTGTGAATTTCTAGATAACTGGGTTTTATTTCTACCTGTGTTGCTGAAATTCTTGGTTATTTAATGAAAGGGGTCCTATTCAACAAGGGAGCTTGGACTTCCTTAAAGTACTTGCCATGGACTCGAGTACCTCAGATTGTCCTGCTTCCTTACGACAACTGTGAAAGATCTTAAATATTGCTGGATGAACCCAGCACATTTTCTGTTGGGCATTCCCTATCTACAAGTAATGGGAATCAAGTGGCTCAGTTAAATCTTTTCCTGTTGATGCTGTGAGTACTGTTACCTTCTTCAGGCTCTCGTGGCTGAGCAGGAAAGCAAGGACAGTGGAGGAGCAGCTGTGGCAGAGCAAGTGCTCAGTATAATGGAGATCATACTGGATGAATCCAACGCGGAACCTCTGAGCGAGGACAAGGTGAGGGGCTGAACGGGAGTGTAGCCTGGGATTTAAAGCTGATACCTCTGCTATTATAGGGATTCAGAGCTTCAGGAGTTGTAGAGCTGTGTTGAATGGAAGTCTCACATATGCCAGCAAGGTCTTAGCAGGCCTTGGAGGTAGTGCCCTCAACCAAAAGCCCTCCTTTGGGGCTAAAATCAACTAGAGAATTCTTTAACAAGAGATGAAAGAAGACAAGTGTCCACTAGACTAGATGATAACAGCCATTTCTCTGGACACTTGAAGTTTTTATTCTTTATCAGCCTGTTTGATCAGGGTCAAGAGCTCTGTTTCATCAAGACCAGAGTACCAGCTACTGGAAAGCAAGTGTTTCCTTGGATGATGTAGATCTATCCCCAAACGTAAGCCATGCTCTTTGTTTGCAGGGTAACCTTCTCCTGACTGGTGACAAGGATCAGCTGGTGATGCTGCTCGATCAGATCAACAGCACTTTCGTCCGCTCCAATCTCAGCGTCTTGCAAGGCCTGTTACGCATCATTCCTTACCTGTCCTTCGGGGAAATGGAGAAAATGCAGATTCTTGTTGACCGATTCAAACCCTACTGTAGCTTTGATAAGTAAGTTGGCAGGTCTCAACTAAAATCACGCAAAATGGGGTGGATGGAGAAGTTCATACCTTTTCTCATTGATGCTCGTTTCAGTGTAATGCAGAGTTTCAGGATTCCAAAGTTTCAGCTTATTTTTTCACTTCTAAGCCATTTCTAGGAGAAATATATGACTGTAGCTCAGGAAATATGGCTTTGAAGTATATTCTGCAATGATGGGCCTGAGTGGCAGGATTGGGTGTTCTGAGGCTATGAGGTGGTAGAGCATGTTTGTGCATTCAGTGGTAATAAAATAAGAATCATTATACAGGCAGATCTTTGAGGAACCTCCAAGTGACTGTTTCTCCTCCTAACTCAGGTATGATGAGGAGCACAGCGGAGATGACAAAGTTTTCCTAGACTGCTTCTGTAAAATAGCAGCTGGGATAAAGAATAACAGCAACGGCCATCAGCTGAAAGATCTGATCCTCCAGAAGGGGATCACGCAGAATGCCCTTGACTACATGAAAAAGCACATTCCTAGTGCAAAAAAGTGAGTTGCTTCCTCGTGTGTGTGGTAATCCTGAGCATCCCTGTCTCATTTGAACACCATCCAATAAAGCTCACTTCCAGGAAAGCTGTTAACAAGGCCACATTCAGAAGCTGTACTTGGTACAGCTGTGATACAGAGGGTCTAGGATGCTGCTGCTATTGGGATGGGATAAGAGTCCAGGACCCTCTGACATCCTTCTGGGCTGGTTTCCTGGATGCTGTGATCTGTGTGTTTCTTTCACTACCCTCTGTATACTGTATCAGAGCTTCTGATGGTGATGACCAGCCCATAAATCCAGAACAAATCCCAAGGCACAGCGCAGTTGGCACTGTGGCTGTTAGTGTGCACGCCATGGAAGTGGGTGTGTGAATGTCACTCCGTTAATTGGCGGAGGAGGGATGTGGGAAGGGGGATGCTTGGCTGTGCCTGCAGCCTGTGTCCTGCCACCGTGCTGCTGGCTGCCAGTGCCTTCCCAGAGCAGCCGACTGTCCTTCAACTGCCACCTCTTGCTCCCTGCGCAGCTTGGATGCAGACATCTGGAAGAAATTCCTATCTCGCCCTGCGCTGCCTTTTATCCTCCGCCTGCTCCGAGGACTTGCCACGCAGCACCCTGCCACGCAGGTAAGGAGGCCCTCTTAGGAGCAGAGCAGGACAGGACTGGCTTGTTGCTGTGTTTTTTTCTGGTCGTAGCTAGGCGGATATTTCAGTAGTAGTTAATTCTCAGATGCTTTGGTTGGGCTTGGAGAGAGATACTGGCTTCAGATGTAGTCTGCTAGGCAGGTAAAGACTGAGATTTTGCCTTAAGTATACTTCATGCTGGGTGGTGTGAGGTGGTAACATGGGTATTCTGTGAAGAGAAGGCCCAACATCCAGTGTAGAAGCAAGTTGCCACCCTCTTGTATGCAGGGTCCAGGGTCCGTAGTGTGGGAGTGCTGGAGAAGAGTAAACCACTGCAGTACTTTGAGGCAGCTGCTGTGAGTGGGTTTAGAGGGAAACGAATACTGTCGTGTACATCCCTTTTTCTTTCTCTTTTGAAAAAGGTGCTGTGTTTCCTTCTTTCCTAGGTGCTAATAGGTACAGACTCCATCACAAACCTGCACAAGCTGGAGCAGGTGTCTAGCGACGAAGGGATTGGGACACTAGCGGAGAATCTTCTGGAAGCACTGAGGGAACATCCAGAGGTGAATAAGAAGATCGACGCTGCCCGGAAGGAGACACGTGCGGAGAAGAAGCGCATGGCTATGGCGATGAGGCAGAAGGCCTTGGGCACTCTGGGCATGACGGTAATGTCTGTTTGCACCGACGGCAGACTCGTGATCTCATGACCTTTTCACTGCCCTCTCGCTAAAGCTGCCACATGAGGAATTGTATAAAATGATTTATTGACAAATACTGGAGAGCTGGAGCCTGTGACGTGCCTGGCACCCCTGGGAGAGTAAATATGGTTGCTACTAGCAGTCTGGGAAGTGGATTGGGCATTCCCGTGACAGTGGTGGGGACGGTGCTCTTCATTATGGTCTTTTCAACCTTCTTGACTTGTTCTCCTTTTCAGACGAATGAGAAGGGTCAGGTAGTGACCAAGACCGCACTGCTTAAACAGATGGAGGAGCTCATAGAAGAACCAGGTCTGACTTGCTGCATCTGCCGGGAAGGCTACAAGTTTCAGGTAAAGTGAGATAGGTCTGTGAAGCCCTCTAATCCAGGGAGGCAACTTGCCAAGAGCTGGGCAAGCCTTGGTGCTTTGGCCCTGGGAGAGCAGGAATTAGCAGGTTTGGTATATATGTTTATTAAAGCTTCATCTTTTAGGGCTTCATCAGTGTGTATTGAACCCTGTTATATGTTGTCCCATGGCTCTGGACAAGACGTTTGAAGTGGTTTCTGCACCAGCTGAACTTTGTAGAGCTCTTTCAGCACCCCTCAGCCCTAGAATGCAATCAGAGCAATTCTAGGATGCTAGAAGCATCAGAGAAGCTTTGCTATTTCTTTTTGTAGTTTATTATAGCCAGGTCATTCTGACATGTTTGCTTGTTCTTAACTGCAGGTATTGCCTTTGGGGCTAGTGTTATGTTCAGAGGCTCATTTGAGTTCTTTGGTGCCCCCCTTGAAACTAACAGTGTTTTACTCATTCCTTCTGGAAAAAAAAAAAATGGCTGGTGTCAGGTTGAAGTAGGAAGGTTGTTGGCTCAGTGGCCTGAATAGACCATTGAAGAGTCAGTCAAACCAGTATAAAGCGTGAACGGTGCAGAGATGTGAATAAACTCTAACACAGCTGTTGTTATTGCAGCCAACAAAGGTCCTGGGTATTTATACGTTCACCAAGCGCGTTGCACTGGAGGAGTTTGAGAACAAGCCCCGAAAACAGCAGGGCTACAGCACAGTCTCTCATTTCAACATCGTCCATTACGACTGTCACCTTGCAGCTGTGAGGTAGGCTCCGATTGCAGGCGAGGAGTAGTGCTTGAGGCTACATTTCAAGGTGTTTGGGGGGCTTGGGACTCAGCCTTGTCACTCAAAACAGATTTGCCCATGAGCTGGTCACTTGGTAGCTTGGAGACAGCCACCGCCTTCTCTGTTGTAGTTTGTTAATACCACACTCAGAAGCCAGGCCTGGCCACCAAAAAGTCAAATCTGTTATCATTAGAAATAACTGCTGCATAGGTTAAAGAAGTTCTGGAATTGCCAAATTCCCGATGGCTTCTTTGGCCAAATTTTGCCTCCTGGTAAGCTGTGAGGTGTTGCTTTCTTTCTACGTGCAGGCTGGCTCGTGGCCGTGATGTGTGGGAGAGCGCAGCCCTGCAAAATGCCAACACCAAGTGCAACGGGCTCCTGCCAGTCTGGGGGCCTCATGTGCCAGAGTCTGCCTTTGCTACATGCTTGGCAAGGTGGGTAGAGCCAGTTACTTCTCCAACTGTTTTGTGTTGGGGTAGGTGAGACAGTATGTTATCATAGTGGCATGGAAGTTGCTTGAAAAACTGTTATTTATAGTGCAGAAGAAGAAATTTAATCAGCATTTTTAAATGGTACTTAATAAAGTAACGCTTTCTGCTGTTTTTCAGACACAACACGTACCTCCAGGAGTGCACGGGGCAGCGGGAACCCACCTACCAGCTCAATGTCCATGACATTAAGCTGCTATTTCTCCGCTTCGCAATGGAGCAATCATTCAGCGTAGACACTGGAGGAGGAGGAAGGGAGAGCAACATACACCTCATTCCATACATAATCCACACGGTGCTCTACGTCCTCAACACGTCAGTATCTCGCTCCTACCACCAGCCTGTCCTTCCCTCACGTGGCCTCAAAGCAGGTGCCATCTGCACTTGCACATGCATGTGGCCAGGAAAGTGGGAAACCTCCCAGGCTTCAGATGGAACCAAACTGCGTGTTTTAAGCAGAATGTTATGGGCTTAAATTGGTCACAGTGAAACATTTGTGGCCCGTGAACGTGCAGGATAACAGGGAACCTACTGAACAGAAGCAGATTGGAAGGTGTCTCCTTTTTCAGTTGTACATGTTACCTCTGGGTTGAGCAATGAGATTATTAGATTAAAGGAACATTATCAGTTTAGTTTCTTCTGGAAAAGCAGAAGAAAGACTTCTCTGAAGTAATCACTGTTGGTTGATATTATTACCCAAGATGAGAATAACCCAGTCAGCCTCAAGTTTTGACTTACTACATTTCTCCTGTAGTGTTCAGGTTCTTAAGACTCCGATTTTTAAGTTTGTTTTTACTAAGAAACAGCAGCATAGCAACACTTCCCTTGAATTGTTTGTGTAAGAACTTATTTATACAAAGCATAAATATCTGTGACACCTTGGCTTCACACTATGTGTAAGTGCACAAATGCATAGATGCCTGAATAGTTTTGAATACCTGAGCAAGTTCTCATAATGCAGCATCCTATGCAAAAACAAGTGCCCATTAACCTTTTATGTACACAGTGGGATAAAATAATATTAATTAAATCAACATATAGTGTGTGAAAATGTATGTCTCTTAAACCATCATCCCTCCAGATGGAATTAAATAAATCTCAGCTCACTTTCCATCCTGGAACTAATCAGCATTTTGGCTCTTACACAATTTGTGTGTTGTTTTTAGTATCTGTCTCCAGATCCCTGCGCTATTGTTTACTGATTCCCTTGAGGGACAAATGAATGAAACTATTCATCTAATTTCATAAGTCTGCTTGGTGGCACTAGAGAGCCCAGAACCTACTTGATCACTGTTGTGTGAAAATGCATTACGTAGTTTCCAGAATTTCTTTGTTTGATATTAAATGTAGAGGACGAAGAGCTGTTAGTTATGCTACCAGCTGCATAACTTAGCAAATGAGAAGTTCCTGGAATGCTGGCTCATAGGCAGAGCTGTATTTGCTAGAGATATACTGCTTTATGCATTTCTGATAGGGAGGGCAGACCTGACTTCAAAATTGAGGGATTTACCTAGGTTTGTATGTCTCACCGTGAACAAATGATGGCCAGTGCATGGACTGGGGGAAACTGGCAGTGCAAAGTGAGCGCCACTCTATTTCCTAGGTAAAACTGCTCTATTGCAATGCTTCAAAGCTGCTGCAAAGTAACAAATGACCTGTAGGAGCCCCTGGGTCAGAACAGCTGCTGATGCTTCTGTTTCATTTCAGAACTCGAGCAACCTCGAGGGAGGAGAAAAACCTCCAGAGCTTCATGGAACATCCCAAAGAGAAGTGGGTAGAGAGCGCCTACGAGGTGGACGGGCCCCACTACTACACGGTGCTGGCGCTGCACATCTCGTCGCCCGAGAAGTGGAGGGCCATGCGCGTGGAGATCCTCAAGAGGCTCCTGGTCACCTCCCACGCGCGCCTGGTGTCACCAGGCGGTGCCAGCAGGTCAGGTGGCCCCGCGCCGTGCAGCTGCGGACCCTGCGTGCGTTAGAGCAGCCACTAACCCGTGCTTAACCCCTGAGCTTGGCACGCAGCTTTGCAGCGTTACGAGCAGGAGAAGCCAATTCAGGGTCCTTTCTGGAGTGGACGTATCAGGAGATCAGCGCTTCTTTATTTATCTATCTATTTCTTCTGTTTTAGCAGGCTCTGTGCTTGCCTTGACTAACAAGAGTGTTTCTTTGCTCTTTGTGATCAGCGCAACAGCTTCCTTAAATAGAAAAAGAAATAGAAATAGAAATCAAATGCTGTTGCTTTTCAAAAAAAAAGAGAAAGGAAAAATCAATAGCAGCTGTCAAGCACTTGAGAAGTACAAGAATAAGCAACTGCCTGACAAAAGGAAATATTTCCAGGGAAGGAAGGGGAATTCCAGTTTATGAAAGGATGATTTTAAAGAGCTGTCATAATTAGGAATAGGTTCATTATTACTCTAAGTCGCCTTAAAGGGCATTCTTCGTGTGGTGGCATAATTACATGTTTGATAAAGTCATTACGTTGTGGCAGCACAGCACGCAGCAGGCCTCGCTGCTGTGAGAGCATCACGAGCACGAGAGCTTCCCTGCCCTTACGGGGGCCGCCGTATCGATCCCGGCGCGGCTCTGGGAGGGCCGGCGCGGGAGATGCGATCCCGGATGGCTGCTTTTCCAGGCGCAAGGACAGGCCGTCTTTCACGGGCCTGAAAGAGAGCCTGGCGAAGGAGAGGCCCTGGGGGGGTGGCTATGGGCTTTGGGTGTTTTTTGGAAAACCCTTCTGCAAATAATTTCGGTTTCTTTCCCGAGTTATCTCTAAACATGTGGAGCAATAAAAGCATATCGGAAGTGAAATAGCCAGAAACTTCCCGCTAGCTGCCTCATCTAGGGGATTTCAGGGGAAAACACTGCGAAATAGTTATGCCAAGGTTTATCTGAGGGCTTTCTTTAACCCTGTAGACTATGAGAACACGCAGCCTTTGCTGATTATGCCTTTCAGAAATAGAAATATGGGAATTCTTGATTCTCTTAGCTTATTTACTCTTGCAGTAAAGCAGGAAGAGGGAGATGGATGCTGAAGCGCTCTGCAGATAAATACCAACACCTTGAACTTGTAGGCTAAGCCACATCCAGCAACATCTGCAAATACTGAGCAACATCTGTAACGCTGGAGTGATGCACCTGCATACAAAAGATGAAATTTAGCCTTCTGCATTAGATGCAGTGCAGCCATACAGAGCACATCAGGGTGGTGTGCGCTGAAGGTTACAGAGATACAAGGATTCACTCCCACTTTTACCAGGGAAGCTGGAGAGAAGTTGCTATAGCAACTATCGCTGTATTGGGAAACAGCTGAGGATCAACTCGTGGTCCTAAAAACGGGCTGGAAGCCTTGCTGGAGAAGATGCAGTGTGACACCACGGCCTGTAGCAAAGGAGTAGGATGCGCTGCCGGAGCCTGCCCCAGCGCTGGTCCCTCTCCAGGATCCTGGCCCTGCATTGCAGCTGTTGCCAGTTGTGCACAAGATCCAAGTGTTTTTAGGAACAACTCCTATTGAAACCCGACGGCGAAGCCACCAGTGTGGACAGGGCCTGATTTGGTGTGTTTTAATGTCTCCAAATGCCACCTACAAACACCAAAGAAAAGGGTCACTTTACTGCTTATCTGCTTGTCGTGGCTACCACAGGAGTTCAGGCTCGAACCGCCTCGCAGGCCGTGTGCGGTGTAGCTGCTTCATGGAGTCTGAGGAGACGATGTCCTCTTGATTTTTTTTTTTCTTTCTTTTTTTCTTTTCTCCTGTCTGACCTTCCTAAAATATTCATGAGAGCAGCGAGCCTTCCCAGATGTTAACATCTAACTTTCAGTTGGAAATCCAGGCACAGCAGAAGCAGTCAGACCAGCTTACATTAATGAAAAGGCAGCAGCTATTCTACAATGAAGCTGCTGGATTCAGTGGCCATGTCGACCTAACCCACAAGGGCCTTTGGGTTTTCAATTAAAGCAATAGAGTCCAATTAGCTCAAAAAAAAAAAAAAGCTTGCATGAAAAGGAATCCCATCTTTCAGCAGTTGGGAGGCTGGAATTAGCCCTGCTCTAAGTTACTCTTCTTCCCGTGGAAATTTAGTCACCTTTACTAATTGGTTTTCCTTTAAATAATTAAGCCCGGCTGCCGAGCTGGCTGCCACCTACCAAGCCGGCTGCTTTAAGGGAAGGGAAGAGCTCGGAGTCGCACAGAGCTGCTCCGAGTAAGAGCAGCAAAGCATCAGCTTGGCAAAACGCAGGTGTGTGGTCAGGCTGAGCATGGTTAGCTGATGCCCGTCTGTCTTGTGGGCTTGAGTCTGCAGCTGCAGAACTAGCTCTAGATCTATTAAAAAAAAAAAAAAAAAAAAGCTGCTTTTTCCCAAAGCCTTTGAATCCCAGACAGGAGGCAGCATGTGCTAAAGCCTGATGTACCTGCTGAATAAAGGCAAGAAAATTCCTAAGCCATTAGACTCGCTGGCAGGAGGTTCCACCTTGCCAGAACCTGTTGGTGATTAATCCTGTAACCTTCAGCAAATTGTGGGAACTGTTATCCCAGCCCAGCTCAGCACCTTTTATAGCATTTCTCCAACTAGGCGGTGGACTTTGAAAAGCCCTTACATGGCAATAGAAAAAAATGAGCAGAAATTGCATTGAAATTCCTCCATTTGTCCAACTATTGAGGGGAACCAAGACAAAGCTCACTTAGACCTATATCCTGGTGTGAATTATCGTAGGTTTTGGGGCCATTTCAGCTTTCACGCTTTTCATCAATGAATGACAAAAGCAGTGATAACTTAAAGATGGATTTAATTGTTTTCCTAGGCTGGCGGATAAGGCAGTGAAGGAATATGCAACCTACCGCTCTGGCCTTCTCTTCTGGGCCCTAGTAGATCTCATTTACAACATGTTCAAGGTAAGGAAACGTTAGCGTTAATCTCCGTCAGCTTTCCAATCTGAGAACGGGTGCATGTGCTTTTAATAACGGCAGTGTCTGAAACGCCATCTTGCAAACTTGAAATTTTACCTGCTCATACGGACAGAAAAGCTGCATGAGGCAGTTGGTGGGTTAAATCATTAGGATGAGGAAATGCCCACAACGTTTTTATGTACTCTATGGGGAAACATGAAGAAGCTGTAGAGGAGGTAGCCAAGAGAAGTTGGGAGCTGTTGTTCCCAATTTCTGTGGGCCAGTTTGCACTAACCTGTGCCATTTCCACCCTCCAGAAGGTGCCTACCAGTAACACGGAGGGAGGCTGGTCCTACTCTCTGGCCGAATTCATACGACACAACGACATGCCAATACACGAAGCTGCAGACAAGGCCCTGAAAACCTTCCAGGAGGAGTTTATGCCAGTCGAAACATTTTCCGAGTTTCTGGACGTGGCTGGTAAGCATTTGCTTTTACCTTTTATAGGCCGCCTTATGCAACTCGTGACTGCCAGTGGCTTGAGACAAGAGCATTCCAGGCACCATCGCGGCGCTTTGTTTGTGTGAGACGGAGGAAGGAGGAGTCCTCGGGGCTTGTGCTGCTGCCCAAGCTCCTGCAATAACAGCTGGCAGGCTTGCTTGAGCATCCCCAGACGGGGCCATTTCTCTCAGCTGCTCCTGCAAAACCCTCCAGCTTGCATCGTGCCCTGGGTGTTTGGGGAACGCGTGACCTCAAGGCCACCGTGGTGTGGATTGGGAACATGGCCAGGTGCTGCAGACCACGGTTTGGTCCCGCTGGAGGAAATTTGCTATCCCCAAAACAGAGATGCTGAGAACTCACCTGCAGAGAGGTCACTTCCACTGCTCAGAGTCAGTAGTGCCCTGGGCAGCCCCTCGGCGAGCAGCGTCCTGCCCTAGTGCTCTTGCACGAGGATCGGTGTCGCGTGCGTTTAATCCCCACGCGCCTTGGGGCCTTCTGCGCGCGTCCAGCGAGGGGTTATCTTTGTCTTGTCCCTACCTAAAATAACATTGCAGCTGTCATTAACAACTCAGGGTACGGTGGCCCTCGCGCAGATTCCTCCTATGGGCAGGGGAAACGGCTTTGGGGCGCTAACGAGTCCGTATCGTCTTTTTCTTGTTGTTCAAAGGCCTCTTATCTGAGATCAATGACGCCGAGAGCTTTCTCAAGGACCTTCTGAACTCTATCCCCTGAGCTGCGGGCACAGAGAGGCCAAGGGCGAGGACGACGCTAGCTTGCCTTCCATCCCTTCGTGTTCCTCCTTGTGCAGTCTGTCCCTTCCCGAGGAGTGCTGCAGTTTGTTCGTTTTTTTTTTTATTATTTTATTTTATACTTTTTTTTTTCTCGGAGTGATTTGGAATTAGATTTGTTTTATCCCATGTTTCAGCGCTTCTAACTGTAAAGCTTTGTGTATTCAAGCTGGTTGAAAGAACTTGTACAGAGAGGAATCCAAACCAAGAAAATCTTAATGCTTTAGCGTGCACATCTTTGAAGTTAAATAAATCGAACGAATGGGTCCGATGGATTCGACCAGTGTTTTAACAACTCAGTAGCCTAAAGGCCAGGATCTTTTCCCGTCTTTTCTTCCAGAACTGCTTGTCTTAGGGCTGAGAGCAGCCGCAGACAAGGAGCACGGGGGAGGTGAGACTCGCAGGGAGCAGGAGAGCGGGTTTGACCCTGTTTCCTCGCGGGGGACGGATGCCTGAGACCTTCGTGGCTCTCAAGGGCCACGTTTCCATCCCTGCCTTCCATAACCCACCCAGGGGAGCTGTCCCCTCTGCAGACCGTCGTCGTGGCTCTTGGAGGCTCCCTGTGTCTCACGGTGGCTTCGCTGACTTTATTCCCGCCGTGGTTACAACAAGCCCGCGAGCGCCGCGGTAGCGCACCGACGGCAGCGTCACCCCGAGAGGGGCAGAGGGATGCTGCTCACCGCTCGTCTTCCTTTATGCAGTGTAAATCACCTTGGCTTCAGCAAAGCGCATGGAGAACGGAGAGCGTGTGCCTGGGGCATGGAAGCTCCCCCGGCTCCAGGCCGCGGAGCTTCTCCGCGCATCGCCCGCGTTCCAGTAAAGCCTTCGCTGTCTTCCTCCCCTCCATTTGAACTCCCGTTTCCGCAATCCTCACACAGCCCCATTCATCAACCCCCTAACTAGTAATTAGCAGCGCGGCTGAATAACCCGGCCGCCTGTTTGATGCCTCCTGCACGCGCCGTGACCTGGTGATGAGCAGGTGGGCGACGGCGCGCGAGGTTTTCCCCTCCCGCCTCTGTGGCTGCTGATTTCACCCCTGTGCAACGTATTTAGGGGTGGATGTACAACACCCAACACTGCTAAAATTCTTCTTCCAAAAGTCAAGGACCTTTTGACTCAGTAATTGTATACTTGTGCGTGTACTGTATATGTGTAGCTCCACTTCCCCATACCCAGAGTGCAGACTGAAACCCCACTGCCCTTCCACTGCGTCATTTTGCTGAGATTATCGTGCAGATGCAATTCCAGGAATCACCCTGTGGATGCTGGCACGGGCCTTTGGCCAAAGCAGCTTGTGCTGTTACTGCTAGCAGTTTATAGCAGCAAAAGCATCCCTTGTTGCATCGTTTCACCACCCGTGCACTTGCATCGACGCATCCTTAAGCACGTGGGGATTTGAGCCAGGCTTCTCTTTCGCTCCGTGACACTTTTACAGCCCCGAGAAATCAAGATCTCCAAAGGGGGCCAGTGTCCTATAAATCGCTTTCCCTAAGGGTGGTTGGCACGAAGCCTCTCAAAACCACTGCAAGGGTTTTGCAAACGTCTACACGTGTATTCTGGAAACGGAGGAAGCCCTCGTGTGTGCTGCTCTGCCAGAGACTGTTAACTTCCTAGTGTTTAATCAGCTTTTTTGCAGGGAGATAGTGCTGTGTTCGGCATGGGACCTACGGCTGAGCGCTGCTAGGATTGAGCAGGGGGGCTTTAACCTCCCAAATTTCCCTGGGTAGCAGAAAAGCCACTGTTGAGCCCTGGGATCAATTTTGCCGCCTGTTCTGAGGGCGAATCCCTCCGGCAGGGCGAGGGGAGCTGGCGCTGCCTCCTTCCCAACCCACGCGGCTGATGCAGAGCTCTGGCCTTGCAACAGCCTCCTGGTACCCTGGAGCAATTCCAGCTGTTTTCCCCACTTGTATTAAAAAAAATGCAAAAAAAAAAAAAAAGACAAAAAAAAAAGAAAAAGAGCAGAGGCTCCTTTAGGAGCTTCATGGGAGCATTTTGCCCTCTCCATTGATGTTTAAGGTCTTAAGTGACACATAGATGAGCAGCTAGTGGGGTGAAACTGTCCTGTCTGCCCTTGGCACGCTGAGGAGGTTGTTTTTTTCTTCCTTTTCCCCCTATTCTTGCTCTTTCCCAAAGCCCCCTTGTAATCTTATTTTTTAATGAACCCAGTGAGTCCTCTAATTGTTGCTAATATTCAAGGCCCAATATCAGGCTTAAAGACCTAGTGGGAGCATCTAAGTCCTGAATATTCCCCTGCTCTTAAGCTGACCTTAAGGGTTTTCCGGGCTTCGAAAAGAAGAAAAATCCACCCACAGAGAAAAATGTTCCCGAAGTTGGTAATTAAAATTAATCCATGGCAGTGTTTGACCAGGTATCCAGGGATCTCTCTGTGGATGGGATGGAAACCCAAAGTTACGCACAAATGTAGTAATGCAGTTTCCACTCAGCTCAGTTTTGATGGAAAAAACGCTGCTTTTGGGCCAAGCGACTTGTCTCTGCGGTGAAGATGAAGATTAAAGCAGGGAACAGGGGGTTATTATGAAATCCCACTGGTGGAAAGTCTTGCCTTGTCCCAAGCGGAAAAGCTGGGAAACGAATGGCCTGAGATGACTCGGAGTTCTCCGATGGGAAAAGCGTCTCCGCGTTGCCCAACAGCAGCAGTTGGTTACCCAGGCAGGTATTAAAGGCGTTTTCCTGCATTTTCAGCTTTAATGGGGCGCCTCCGCCCAGGGCGCTGCCGCCCCAGAGCAAGCTTGGTGCTGAGGTAGCACCTGCGCCCAGGTGCCCGTCACCACGTGTCACCCTCGCTCGTTTAGTCCCGTCGGGTGGGGACACAAAAGCATGAGCCAGTTTTAATGATTTTTTCCTCACTTTTTAATGACTTTTTCAATATGATTATTTATCCGATATTCGACTATTCCTAAAAAAAAAAAAAAAAGTTGCTCCTGCCGGCCTGCCGGGCAGCTTAAATTTGTCATTTTTAAATTTTATCCCAATTTATTCTCATTTTTGGCACACGCTCCAGCCGAGCGGCAGGGGCGCGTGGAGCTGCCG